CGGCGCGGCGGCTCGACGGCGCGGCGGTTGACGGTGGACGGCACGAGTACAAAGGGAGCGCCCAGAAGGAGGAGATGGAGATCAGGCGATTTTTAGGTTTGGAAATGGGTCTACTAAATCGGGTCGGGTTTTGTCTTTCCGGGTAAACGCATCCACTGGGCCAAAGATTGATTCAATTGGGCTTCCAGTTGAAGTGGTAGCCCACTTTTACAATCCTTTTCATGAATGGGCTGCCCTCTTCAGCGTTCCTAAGAGCCAGTCAAATGACGGAAAGTATGAGAAATATATGTAGATCAAAAAATAACTTTTAACTTATATAAAGTAGAAGTGACAGAAGTAAAACACTTCTCTTGTTTATTTTATATATTTTTTGAAAGCAGTCGAAATACTACTTCTTTCTCTTTTATTTATGCGTGTCAGTTGAATATACTCTCTGTTCACCAAAGGATAGGATAGTGAGCCAATCATCCTGCATGATGGATTAAAAAACAAAATGAGAGAGGCAGAAGTTGACTTCCAAGTCAACAACTCAGTGCGTAACAGAGGGATGGTTAACATCAAAACAGCCCTAAATGAATGTGAAATGTTGTTATATGATTTAAATTCGTATGAAAATAAATCATCGTAGACTGCAGGATGTTCGATTTCATGAATAGACAGATAATTTTAGATCCAGGGTCACACACACACGCCCCCGGAAAAAAGAGTTGTGGGTGAGAAAACATTTCTATCTATATACGCTAGGGGACATATATAGCGACTAAAATTTACATCCGACAGAATATGATTACATATACCAATATGCAGTGAAATATCAACATCTATATTCAAGATATCTAAATATATGTTAGTCATAAAATTACAACAGTTTTAATTTTTAGATGGATTTAAGGTTAATTTTGATGATCAAGTGATCTAATATTAGCTTTTTAGATATACTGAACATATTAATGAACTCTCTTGTATCATATGAACCATATTTTTTCCAACCAGGGCCGGCCCTGGGGTAAGCCCACCAAGCCCCGGGGCTGGGGCAACCCAGGGCCGGGGGGGCAACTAGCGGGTGTCATACATACTCCCATGGGACCTCGCCGGAGTCGGAGGCAGTGCCGCCGCCTCATCCACCCCATGCGACCCTCTGGAACTCTCGCAAGCGATCAGGTGACGAAGAAGAAAAAAAATCTTGAGAATCGATTTCTATTGATGGCTCTTCAGATCCTTCCAAACCCTAGCCTCCATCGCCACCCAAACCCTCAACAAGAGCGCTCCTCGACCGCCGGCGGTGAGAGCGAGTGAGAGAGTGAAACTTTGTACTGCACTAGAGCAATGCATGGAAGCTGAAGGAGGAGGAAGAAGAAACACATGAAACACAATTTCTCAACCTCTCAATTTATTCTATTCTTTATTTACAATTTATCTGTTGTTGTAGAAAAAGAAGGAAAACCCATTTGTTAGAGCTTAGGACTATGGCTGCAGACTTACTATAGAGGAAACTAATTGGATTCGTTTTTTCCCTTTTTTTTGGATTCTTTGATTCTTTTGTAGGTGGTTGAATTTGCTGGAGGAATATTGATGGAGATTGGAGGCGCTGATTGTTCGCGGGCTGCTTCAATTTCGGATTGCCATTGGATTGAGAACTCCAGGACTTCAGATTAGTGGTAAGATATCTGAATTTTTTTTCTCCTGATATTTGCTTTCGACGTATCGATGAAACCCAAGATCAAATAACACCTTATGCCTCATCTTTTGTTGTCGAAACGAGCAGTGTCACTGAAGCCCTGAAGGTGTTCGATAAAATGGAGTAATCTTTAACGACAACTTCTTAGATTGACCCGGCTAGGGTTCGGCCCTCGCTAGAGAAGCAAGGCTAGGCCGAGCACCGGGCGCTGGCGAGCGGGAAGGAGGCGACGGTGATCGAGTTCTACTCGCCCAAGTGCAGGCTTTGTAGCTCCATGCTTGACCTTGTTCTTGATTTGGAGGCTGAGAATGAGGATTGGGTTCTATTTGTGCTTGCGGATGCCGAGAACGAGAAGTGGCTCCCTGAGGTTAGTTTCCTGCTCGATTTCTGACTGCTCGGTTGTAAAAGGGAGCTTGACCGCTTTGAGTAAAAGGAGAAGAATAAGGATTGGTTCTTTGATTGAGAAAATTGGAAGGGATTTATTTGGAAGGAAAAGGAGAAGAATAAGGATTGGTTCTTTGATTGAGAAAATTGGAAGGGATTTATTTGGAAGGAAAGACACTTAAATTTGTTTTTGAATCTATACAAAAGAAGGGATTTATTTGGAAGGAAAGACACTTAAATTTGTTTTTGAATCTATACAAAATTCTTTTTTTTAACTTAATTAAATTCTACTTTAAAGTAGAGTTGGGATGTGTTTAGTGATAAGTTTATCAAACTTTAAAGTAGAGTAGTGATGCTTCACCAAATTTACCTTTTTTTCTCTTTATGGTCGACCCTTTGTCGCTTCGGAGAAAATTTTAAAGTTTTTGCTCTACTGTTAAAAGAGCTCATACTACAAGAGCAGCAAGGTTTTCTAACTGACAAATGCTCTTTTTTTAACTTGTGCCGGGATAATTTCTTCCCATAATTCATTTCCCGGAGGCACACAATTGTTTTAACAAACAAACTTTCAAAACGGGGATAATTGTTCGTACCAAATTTTTAATATAAGGGGCAATTAAAATTGGATTGGGCTAGGGCAACCCAAACCTCGGGGCCGGCCCTGTTTCCAACATCATCTAGTTTTCTCATATCGGTTTAGTATACACGTGTGTGTGTGTGTGTGTGTGTGTGTGTGTAAGTAAGCATGCATATCTGTATTCATATTTGATTTTAGCGGAAATGGATATAAATATTTTCTTGCGGAGGCATATATGTATCCATATCCGTGGTTGGCAAACGATTACAAATGCGATAAGTATCATATCCGAGCTTTATCCGAACCATTTACGCTATCACAACAGCTTGAAATGAATAGGTCAGAATATACCCCTTGGCATGCAGGATATTCTAATGGGAAAAATGCTCCCAGCCCCCAAAAGCTAAGGAAACGTGCTTCCCACCCCTAAGACTTGGTCAATGAGTGTTTTACCCAAAAAATAAAGATTCTATTCTCTAAGCCCCCAAAACACAAAACCCAAGAGATTAAAATATGTGAAGACCATAATACCCTTCTCTCCAAAACACAAAACCCAAGAGATTAAAATATGTGAAGACCATAATACCCTTCTCTCTCTCTTTCTTTTTTATTAAAATATGATGAGAGATTAAAATATGTGAAGACCATAATACCCTTCTCTCTCTCTTTCTTTTTTATTAAAATATGATGAGCATTATTTTATTAATATATATATATATATATATATCATGATGTTACTTTGATAATATTAAAATGATTGAAGAGGATTATTATTTTATTATTTTTGTTTTTTATTTTTTTCGTATTTTTAGAATATTCGTTGTTAAGGATAATGGTTGGTTGTAAATGTTATGCATTGTTTGTTAAGGTTACGGGTTGGTTGTTAAGGTTACGGGTTTGTTGTGTATGTTACGGATTTGTTGTTAAGGTTACGGGTTTAATTGTTAAGGTTACAGGTTTAATTGTTAAGGTTACAGGTTTAATTGTTAAGGTTACGTGTTTAATTGTTAAGGTTACGGTTTAATTGTTAAGGTTACGAGTTTAATTATTACGGTTACATGTTTAATTGTTACGGTTACGGGTTTAATTGTTAAGGTTACATATTTAATTGTTAAGGTTACGGTTTAATTGTTAAGGTTACTGGTTTAATTGTTAAGGTTACGGGTCAATTGTTAAAGTTATGGATCCTTTCTCTCTCTCTCTCGTAACCTTAACAATTAAACCCGTAACCTTAATAATTAAACCGTAACCTTAACAATTAAACCGGTAACATTAACAATTAAACCCATAACATTAACAATTAAACCGTAACCTTAACAATTAAACCGTAAACTAAACAATTAAACCGTAACCTTAACAATTAAACCAGTAACCTTAATAATTAAAACCGTAACCTTAATAATTAAAACCGTAACCTTAACAATTAAACCCGTAACCGTAACAATTAAATCCATAACCTTAACAATTAAACTCGTAACCTTAACAATTAAACCGTAATCGTAACAATTAAACCCGTAACCTTGACAATTAAACACGTAACATTAACAATTAAACCTGTAACCTTAACAATTAAACCCGTAACTTTAACAACAAATCCGTAACCTACACAACAAACCCATAACCTTAACAACAAACCCGTAACCTTAACAACCAACCCGTAACCTTAACAAACAATGCATAACCTTTACAACCAACCATTATCCTTAACAACAAATATTCTAAAATACGAAAAGAATAAAATAATAATCCTCTTCAATCATTTCAATATCATCAAAGTAACATCATGATATATATATATATATATATATATAGAGAGAGAGAGAGAGAGAGAGAGAGATGATTCATAACCTTAACAATTGACTCGTAATATTAACAATTAACTCGTAATCTTAACAATTAACCCGTAACTTTAACAATCTCTCAATAAAAATAATAAAAATAATAAAAAAATGAAAATAATAAAATAATAATCCTCTTCAATCATTTCAATATCATCAAAGTAACATCATGATATTAACAATTGACCCGTAACATTAACAATTAACTCGTAACCTTAACAATTAACCCGTAACTTTAACAATCTCCTAATACAAACAACAAAAATAATAAAAAAATGAAAATAATAAAATAATAATCCTCTTCAATCATTTCAATATCATCAAAGTAACATCATGATAGAGAGAGAGATAGATAGAGAGAGAGAGAGAGAGAGAGGATTCATAATCTTAACAATTGACCCGTAACATTAACAATTAACTCGTAACCTTAACAATTAACCCGTAACTTTAACAATCTCCCAATACAAACAACGAAAATAATAAAAAACAAAAATAATAAAATAATCATCATCAATCATTTCGACTATCATCTTAGTACATTATGATAAAGAGAGAGAGAAAACAAAATTAATAAAATAATCATCATCATATTTTAATAAAAAAAGAAAGAGAGAGAGAAGAGTATTATGGTCTTCACATATTTTAATCTCTATCATCATATTTTAATAAAAAAAGAAAGAGAGAGAGAAGAGTATTATGGTCTTCACATATTTTAATCTCTTGGGTTTTGTGTTTTAGAGAGAGAGAAGAGTATTATGGTCTTCACATATTTTAATCTCTTGGGTTTTGTGTTTTGGGGGCTCAGAAAACAGAATCTTTATTTTTAAGGGTAAAACACCCATTAACCAAGTCTTAGGGATGGAAATCACGTTTCCTTAGCTTTTCAGGGCTTGAAGCATTTTTCCCTATTCTAATATAATCTTCGCTCTTTCGCTCTCCAAATGCGTCGCGATGCTCGCTCAAGTGCTCAACTTCGCTTCCCCTTCAATCGGCCCGAGCAAAGGCCATAAGCACACCTGCCTCCAAAAGGGCCATAAACCATAATTACCATAAGGGCCCTGCTTAGATAGCCGCACGGTCCGTGCCCAAATTCGTTACAACGGGGCCCACCAGCGCGTGCGACAACAAGATCATCGCCGCCCACCTGGCCTCCCCACTAAAATCCCAAACCCTAAAATCTCATCCTCCGAAAATGGCAAGTAACAGCGACGACGACAGCTCCAACCCGAATCTGCTCCTCCTGACCCTCCTCCCTCAGTCAAAAGACGACGACTTTTCCCCCGACTTATTAAACCCCCAACAGCATCATATATAGGAATTATACTACAATACCAATTTACTTACTATAAGTATATACCTATAAATACCAATAATAGTACTTATTAATAACCTTTCAAATATAAAATGGTTGAATGTTTAAACTTAAGGTTTAGGTTTAAATATATTATTGATAATACTGATATGAATGATTGAAGAGAATTATGTTACAATTCTCCTAATATTACTTTCCGATAATTTAGAAGATTTGTTCGCCACTCTAAAGACGAATTATATGAGTTGTTTGTTAAAAGGTTAATTCCATCTGTGTTTTGTGTGAATTAGGAAGGACTTAAAAACGTAATATTTATATCTTTATTTCTAAGTGGCTTGGTAGGTTAAGTATGAGTTAAACGTCTATTGGGTGTATAATGTTTTGTTAAAAACTTTGTTTAAAGCCATTTGTCAAGATCAAGCTTTACAAGTCCAGTACTTAATGTGATTGCAAAAATGAGATCCAACAATTGGAAAATGTAATTGGAAAATTCTTTTTGTAGCCATGTTTAAAATCACATTTTCAAACATTTCCCAAATTCATCCAAGTTTAAATGATTTGTTACGTTAATGAATTTATCAAAATCAAGTTTTTCGTCGGTCATGTGTGATGTTTTAACACAAATAATGAGTTTCAAACAAATGAAGTGATATTATAGAAATTCTTTTTTGAAATGTTATCTACATGTTGAAACTTTCCAAGAATTTAAAATTAAATACGCCAATTTTGGAGTTGATTTACATGATGGCCGACATTGTTAACAAAATCGTGTAGTCGCAATTTCAGGACACATATATATCTGTGTTAAAATATTATTTTTCTCCTGGAGAAGAGAGAGAGAGAGAGAAGAGAGAGAGAGGAAATAAACTAACAATTGACCCTAACATAACAATTAACCGAACTTAAACAATTACCCGTGAACTTTAACAATCTCCTAATACAAACAACAAAAAATAAAAAACAAAATAATAAAAATATAAATCCTCTTTCAATCATTCAATATCATCAAAGTAACATCATGATACGAGAGAAGATAGATAGAGAGAGAAGAGAGAGAGAGATCATAATCTTAACAATATGAACCCGTAACATAACAAATTAACGCGTACCTTAACAATTAACCCCCGATAGACTTTAACAATCTCCCACTACAAACAATCGAAAATGAATAAAAAGACAAAAATAATAAAATAATCATCATGCAACATTTCGACTAATCATCTAGTACATTATAATTAAGAGATAGAGAAACAAAATATAAAATAATCATCTATCATATATTTTATAAAAAAAGAAAGAGAGGAGAGAAGAGTATTATGGTCTGTCACATATTTAATCTTTGTTTGTCGTGTTTGGGGGCTCAGAAAACAGAATCTTAGTTTTTTAAGGTAAACCCCATACCAGTCTTAGGATTGAAATCACGTTTCCTTAGGCTTTTCAGGGCTTGTAAGTCATTATCCCTATCTCGTAATATAATTCTTCCGCTCTTCTCGGCTCTCGCAAGATGCGTGCCGGATGCTCGCTCAAGTGCTCGCAACTTCGACTTCTCCTTCAATCGTCCCGACATAGGCCATAAGCACACCCTGCCTCCAAAGGCCAATAAACCATAATTAACATAATGGGCCCGCTAGAATGAGCCGCACGGCCGGCCAAAAATTCGTACAACGGGGCCACATCGCGCGTGCGAACAACAAATCGAGCGCCCCACTGGCCCCTCTCACTAAACCCAAAACCCTAAAAATCTCATCTCCGAAAATGGAATTAACAGCGACGACGACAGCTCCAACCCGAAGTCTGCTCCTCCTGACCCTCCTCCCTCAGTCAAAAGACGACGCACTTTCCCCGACTTATTAACCGCCCACTAGCAATCAGCAGCCATCAGAACAAACACACCGCCTGATCCATCGACAGACCCTAACAACCCGCTCACTCCCTTCTCAGGCCTCTCCTTAGGCTCTGGCCAGCCGCCCCGGGCTCTCGTATCCCTCCCGAACCGAAGCGCCTCAACCGCTCCTCCCCTCCCCCTCTCTAAACTCCCCCTCAGGATCTCGAGATCGGGTCCGGCACCAGCCTCGCGTGCATTTGCAGCTCGCCGCCATCCTCCGGGCCCCACGTGACCCTCACCGACCTCCCTCACGTTCTCCCCAACCTTCGCTTCAACGCCGAGGCCAACGCCGACGCCATCGCCGCCCTTGGTGGGTCCGCCGGTGTCCGCCAGCTCATCTGGGGAGACGAAGTGGATCAGCTGCCGGTTTCGACGAGGTTCGACGTGGTGATGGCCTCGGATGTCGTGTACTATGGGCATTTGGTTGACCCTCTGCTGAAGACGCTGAGTTGGTTGGTGAAGGGTGAAGTGGTTTTCGTGATGGCGCATCTGAGGAGGTGGAAGAAGACGGATGCCGTGTTTTTTAGGAAAGCCAGGAAGCTGTTCGAGGTTGTTGCTCTTCACTCTGATCCTCCTCTGCCTGCAAGCAGAGTTGGTGTCGTCGTCTATCGTTTCGTCGCGAAGAAGAAGGCTGTCGTCGTTTGCTGACACTTTGTGTTTTGATTTTGTTTTTGTACTTGATGGGTTTTTTTTTTTTTTTTAATCGTTTGCTGACACTTTGTGTTTTGATTTTGTTTTTGTACTTGATGGGTTTTTTTTTTTTTTTTAATCTCAATGAAGCAATAGATTGCTCTTTCTTAGTTCAAATAATTTCAGCAGAAAAACATAGTATACTGTTTTACACCGAGTTGCCTTACTAAGAGATTACATTCTTGGCTAATGAAGCAGGACGCAGCTCAATGGAGACTAGCGTTATAGGCTCTTAGATCCGAGGTTCTCGGCAATCTCAGTCTCCCACCTGTCACCGTTCTCAAGTGGTTTCTCCTTGTCATAGAACAACTCCTGGAAATGATGAAATCACGAGAATAGTAATTGAAGTGTTGAGAGAGAACAAAAGGAGATCCAAGTATAACTTCAATTGCGTTACGTACCTCGTGGGCTTCAGTGGCGAATTCAGAGTTTGGGCCCTCGACTATGGCATCTACAGGTCATGCCTCTTGGCAGAATCTGCAGTAGATACATTTGGTCATATCAATGTCGTGCCTGCATATTCACCCACAAAGAAAGTGATAAAACAACCACAGGAACTATGTAGGATTTAGATCGATATCCAGTATAAGAATTGGCTCTATATCTTGTCGTTCGTCGACTGCCATCTTCTCGTTCTTCAGCTTCAATTGTGGTTGCTTGTGCTGGGCACATCTGCGATCACAAATGTGGTTAGACTACACAGATATTGGTTTTGGCAATCAATAGAATTTGAGGAACTAAACTCAGCTTGTAAACGACCATGCTTCTTATACTGTATTATGGAAACCAAGCTATACTATTGATGTTATACTATCGATCTGAGCTCAACCCAAGGGTTTCCCTGAGTACAATAGAAAAGTAATCTTGTATACCGGCACATATGAATTTATCGCTTCACAGAGCTTACAAGCAATGCAACGCTCCTCCCCAGTTGGATATCGGCCTAGTGTTTCGCCATGAAATGCGAGGCTCAAAGGGCCTTTCTCAAAAGGGTAATTTATTTGCGAAAGACAAGACCGTAAAAAACATGGCAAGGGAAGAGTTAAGAGACCACAGGAATACAGGATAGATCTTTTTAGGGTAACTTTCCTCTGAAAAAATATTTCAGTGTCAGACTCGGGCCTCAAACCATTTCGGTGAGAAATAGTGTATTTATGCTCTTTTCAAAAACTGAAGGAAACCACTGTCAATTAGAATGCATTTTCCTACATTTAAAGAAAAATCCATAGTTATGGGCATCATAATGAACTATGGATCATAATTTACTAGACATTACCAGCACTCAAATCCTTGGCAATCTCTTTTGCAAGTTGCTTTCTCTCCTCATCCTCTGCGTATTGCCAGACTAATTAGAACAATGTAGACCTTGTGTGTGTGTGCGCGTGCGTGCGCGCGCCTGTGTGTGTGCATGCATGTTGTGTGTGTGTGTGTGGCTTGAAGAGTGGAAAATGGTGGAACTTGAAGATTGGAAAAGTAACCAAATCAGTTGCTAGGCATAACCATAGATGGAAAACTCAAGGTCAAGATACCACTGCAAAGAGCAAATTGGCCTGATTTCTGACAGTTGTTAAGAAAACATGGAAACAAAAATGACAATCCACGCCATCTTAGTTACGTAATTTCAGTCAGACAGGATGTAAGAAGAGCCAAGGAATTTTGGCGAATAATCTCCAATTTTAATTTTTGTGTTTGTTTGCATGAAAGTGAAACAAGTATGACAGTAAACTCACTTTTAATATCAAAGTAAACGAACTTTCAGCCGCGCCTGGTGTGTGCTTTATTTGAAAGTAATATGAGAGCGAAATTACCCATCAGGTGTCTGGAATTCTTTTATCTGTGTGGTAATTGAGTAACATACTGGAAATCCCCGTTGCACGTGGAGTTAGTTTCACTAGGAAGAGTACATGATTCACAGATTCAAGAACATCTCACCAGTCCATTTTTTTTAAGCCCTGCCGTAAATCAGATTTTAAGTTTTCAGGACTTTTTAACAGTTCCACAAAGAATACGTGCCCTATCAACTCACTGAAAGAGAATGCGCCCGCTATAATAACTGCCTAGAGAAAATTGACTCATGCAGTGTCCTAGAATTGGGGATAGAGGATTCATAGTTGCTTTTGATTTATATCGCTGATCGAAGACATAATGATTCAAATCCGTCGCTATCAAAGTGAGACATATTTATGCATGAACCAATCCATATATATCACTAAATGCACCCACAAAGAAACTAGTTCATTATCTTTGTTCTGATGTCATTTACTATCCAGCAACGGACACTGTCTTCTTTTTCCTAAGCCTTGGTCTCTTCTTTTTTATTACTTAGCGGTACGATACATCACGTCTTTTTAAATGGTCTGAGACTGATTAATCCTTCTTTTTAAAAAAAAAACATTTTCCAACATCCAGCAGTTACCATAAGTACTCACTCATCAGTGACATAGATCTTCACTTTATATTCGTACATGTCCAGATAATGCTGTTCTGCAGCGTATTACACAGTTTTCTTGCAAATTTTCGCTTTATGGTTATAGTAACACCTTTCCTCCTGATAATTACTCTGTGTTGTCCCATATAAAATCAACAAGGGCATTCATAATGTTCAGAAATTTCAAAATGATAGTCTATTAATCTCTCCGTTCAATGGACTTTGAGGGCGAAAGACCCCAGCTGGTTGTCGTGGCTATAGAGAACTATATATAGAATCATAAGATTTTAAGCAGGTAAACGAACAGCCACAAAATCACCATCCAGTCAATGTATTTATTTTTGACACAAAAGATAGCTCCAAAGCTAGGGTTGAAGTACGGAGTTGGGGGGATTTTGTCCATACTTGCCTGCAGTTCGGATCGAATTCTGCGCCACCAGAGAACAAAGGAAGAAAAAGAGAAAGGATAGTACCGATGCTATAATAAATTAAGGGTATTTAGGGGTGGGGGTATAAAAATGAAGAGCGAGCGGAAGAAGCAACGGATGCTGGGGATATGCGAGAGCTTACCAGAGGTTGGGTTGGGGAGATCGAAGGGACTAAGACCATTCCGAGGTAAGATACCGGCCATGGGCGGAATCGCTGAGGGCTCTGGTTGATCTTGAGGTGGGAATGTTGCCCGAAAACGAGAGCTAGTTTTTTAAAAGCGCCAGGTGCCGCTTGATCTTTGGTATCAGATAGCCAACCCCAGGCCGCATCCGCCCCAAAAACGAACACCCGCTATCCCAAAATAAATAATAATAATAATAATAAATATCATAAAACGCCCCTTAAGTTTAAGGGTTTATTAGATGAACCCTTTTATCTTTTAAACAAGTCCAGGAGGCTCTCAGTGTCAGAATCAAAACCGGACTCATCCTCAGGGGTGATCCATAAACAAATCAGTAAAACACCATTATAAGAAACGTAAAATACATGAAAAAATATTAAGGTTTAACTGCACTTACATGCTCCAAAGTTAACCTATGCGCCTTGGTGCTCGCCTGCTCCTAATACTGATTTCAGAGTCCACATAGGATGCATATATTCTTTAGAGAAACAATGGTATTGATATATGCTTGTTGTACGATATATTACAGTTGCACAAAGGAAAACAGCACAGAGTCAATAGAAATGCCTAAAAAAACCTTCTCCCACTCCAGAAATGGATTAGAAAACATGTACAGTTTTATCTTGACATCCATCGACCCCACTTTGTGGTCCTCAAAATAATTGCTGCATCTTTGACAGTTTAAGCTCCAAGGATATCAAATTCATGAGGCATGAAGTCTTCACTTGGTCTATAGTACTTTTCAGGAGAATACAACCCCATGTTCGACACTTTGCTGGTGTACAAACAAGCAAACCTCTCAACCTGCACATAGCACAGTTATAGCACAAACATGACATAAAACCGGCTATCATTATAGTAAAACTAGTTGGAACCATCTGATTCAGCACAACAGTTCACGTCAATGTATGCAAGAAATGAATAGATCACATTCCATACATGAAAAAAGTTTAATGTTTATGGATACTGGTATTCAGCAAAGTATCAAATGCTTGATGTACAGTGGAATAGATACCTGATGAGCAAAGCGAGAGTTCTGGTAACCAGTTTTCATAAGCTGTCCCCACACTGCATGAAACTGGATCAAGATGGAGGAAAAGTTAGCGGAAAGGCTATATAAGATAGCTTGCAACAACACTTCCAGATTCAGGGGCCCTTAGATCATTTGCTTAACACTTCAGACTTTTCAGGCTCCAGAAGAAACAGACACAGCAATTTAACCTTGTGTTCACTATCTACCAAGATTAACATATGGATACAGCAATCTTTAAATATTATTATCCTTACGAACATGGAAATTGTGTGCAGAATAGATATCAAAGGATCTGATCAACACTATCAAGAAGTCATACAATAGAACAAGGCATAACATTGTAAGCAAGCAGCTCAAATGGAGCACCCTAAAGGGAGGAGGCACATGGTAGGACCACATACAAGAGACAGTACAATGACAGCCTTTGAAGCAAATTAGAAATATGCACGAACCCCAACCCCAGAGGAAACCATGCACATAGTAGAAATTTATACAAATAGGGCCCTATAGGCATCTTGTGGGTACATACAGATCCTTGATGTCTTGATAGGATTGTTTCAAACAAAGTAAACGCATGAAATAGACACTTGGCAGTTTTTTTTAAAATTGTTTGAAGCAGCGAAAGAGTAAATTTGGCTATAAAAAATGCCTATGCCACAGACCTTTAAAGTAGCACTTCGGAATATGTTTTCAACAACAAGCATAATTGATGTAAAGAGATGTTTGTCTCATGTCATAAGAATGTCCATCAGTAAATTCATTAGACATGTCAATCTATCAAAAGGAAAATTTAGTCAATGGAATGAACTAAATGTATAATGGGTCCAGTTCATGGTGATCAAAGCTTTGCTGGTTTTAGGACTATTAAGTTTACCTTCAAGTGACATTCACGCTGTAGCTGCTGATGATGTTGGCGAGCATTGTCTCTTTGTAACTATAATTCAGAAAAATTCACAAAGTAAAGAAAAGTGCATCATGAGTGATCATATTATTTTCCAGTTTTTAAGTATTTAATGCTGCTTTCAATATGATCAACGACTTACAAAAGTTTTTTAAGTTGCGTATGTATTATATTACAATGAACCATATACAAACTAGTTAATGTGATACATAAGAACCTAATATCTGCCTAACTTCTACTAACATACTCTATATATATATACTATATATAATATATATATAATATATATTATATATATATATATATATATATATATATATATATATATATATATATATATATATATATTTATATAATATGATATTAATGGTATCCTTGTCATAGAGGGGATTTCCTCCTATGACGCCTCTAAAATCACATGATTGAGCGACATTGTGGATGATCCGCTCCCGTTGAATCTTGATCTACATATTCTAAAAACCCCAACACCAAGTTGGGGTGAACCCGTGTCGTTTGACCCTTCATCCACTCGTATCAATTTTTAACGGTTTTGAATGATATAGAACTTTTCACATGGCTCGATGGAGAATCAAACGACGGATTCACCCAAACATTGTGTGTTGGGGTTTAGAATATGTAGATCAAATTCAACGGAAGCGGATCATCCATAAGTCGCAATCATGTGATTTTAGAGGCGTCATAGGAGGAAATCCCTCCTATGACAAGGATACCCATTAATATCTCTCTCTGCTCTTCTCTCTCTCTCTCTCTCTCTCCTTCCTCTCTCTCGTCTCTCTCTATATATATATTATATAATATATATATATATTATAATATATATTATATATATATATATAATATATATATAGTAAAAACCATGTTCAGTAGTTTTGACAGACCTGCGAACTTGCACGGTTGAATTCTGATGGCTTTTTAGGTGTCAAGAATAAATCAGAAATATATTACCAAAATATCTAGCTGAAATCTGAAGATACGTTCTTCCCGTAAGTTCACAGAAAATCAGATAAGAAAACTGAAAAATATACACCCACCGGTCTTTTTTCAATCTCGGTATAATATGCATCTCAAGATTAATTCCAATGTTATCGCACAAGTTTGACATCAAAATATCATTTTAAAAAAACATGAAATTGTGGTAATACTAAAAGTAGAACTTCAACTAAATTTTTTAAATTTCCAAAACATATGATAATTCATTAAAAATTTTATTTAACCATCTTTATTAGCCATACAACAATTCTAATGACCTCGAGCCTACACCAGTAGACCTGTTCTTTTCGATATATAAGTTACTGAATAAATAATAAATAAAAGAAAAAAGTTCTTCATCCACAATCAACATAGGTAATGAGATGATCATGTACTGTTCCCTTTCGAGAGCTATCGGGGCACGTG